CCGGTAAACGTCCCATGCTGCGTTCATGCAGGCTCGGAAATGCTGAAGCCTACAGAACAAACATCGGTTATAAAAACCCGATACCGATAATTCCCGATATTACATTTTTTTGTGAATATTGGCCGGCCGATATTATCGGACATCCCTAGCCAATACTGATTATCTCAAAATGCCAGATTTTTTTTAGGCCTCATCAAAGCTCTAAGCTCTGGTTGTTTGTCTTTAGTAGAGAACTTCGAGTACAGCCGCTGTATTACAATAACTAACTTTTCCACTCAGGGTTCAATGTCTCTTTGAAGTCAACTTACTGGATCATACTGATGTAAGTCTCCACGTTCATCATGTCACCGTCCCTCCAGTCGTTCTTGAAGCCCAGCACCAGTGTGTTTGGCTTTAGGCGACCCAGGCCAGCAGCCTTGAAAGGGAGAGAGGAAATCAAATGAATTCAGACCGTGGCTCATTTCTGAAAGAATGACTGCTTTCCTAAGACGCTGCCATTCTAGAGCAGGAAATACAAATAAAGACACTGTGGGTGGATTGTTCGGCCTGTTGCTGGTATTACATTCACTCTCAGGCTAGTTATCACTGCCAGTTTTTACACTTGAGATGGAAACTCTGGCAGCACCGAGTATGACTCACCTCTGAGAGCACTTTGAGTACCAACGCCGTTTCACGGGCTCAACAAGTTTCACCTTCATTTGGCTGACTATAGAATTTAAGATAAGACCAATTTATTCAAGAATCAAAGAAACTGTTGCCCCTTCAGAAGATCTCTAATTCATTCTCACCAGAAGGTCAAATAGTAAAACACCATATTTGTGATATTCTAAAGACTTTTCAAAAACATTTTAAGACCATTATGCAATTTAGTAAGTGCTACTTAGTACTGTGTATCAAAGCATGATATATTCTCCTTCCTCTGTGAAAAACTTCAATTAACCACACTGTTGCACTTCCTTTATTATCATGAACACACACACAGACTCAATCCCACATATGCCGACCTGCTGCCCCAAATACTCACTAGAGCACCAAAAGGGGATTAGTCCACCGCTAAAAATAGTCCCCAACAAATGCCTCCTCCTGTGTGTAATGTTGAATCATGTAATGCCTTTTTAAAATGAAACTACATCTCCAGTAGGGAACAATGGGATTGTCGCTTAGAGAGAGACAGGGAAGAGAAGTAAGAAAGTATTGAGAGACATTGTTGGTGTGGGTCTTTTCATGGGATATAAAATATGAATAATGCCAGTATTATCTTCAAATGAGCAGGGAATTTCACATGAATTTGTGCTTGGGATCCATTGTTTAAATGTTTCTATGCAGCCTAATGAGACCTCGTATTTGATGCAGGGCTATAAAATAATAGTGTTGATTTGACATGAACTTAGATCATATAAGACAGTTTAACAACATGCAGGGCCCAAAACCAATAAATGGCACTTGTGCAAGTCTACAATGCTTCTCGGGAATTAATCTCAGCACGCAGACGGCTAACTTATCTCTGTGCATTTGTTTGCCATTTACTCAGAGATAGCCTCCAGAGCAACAGAGGGAGAACCCATTTGAGAACTAATTCCTAGAAGCCCTGTAGGTTGTGACGTTCTCCTACCTGGAGCAGGTACTGCGTGCCCTGCCTCATGTCCTCGGCGAACACCGGTGTGTAGAAGGCCTTGCTCTCATTCTTAAGCAGCCAGCGCTGGTACCGGGCCTGGTCTGTGGCCAGATCTTTGAAGTTTGGCCTTCTGTAGCCCTGCAGGGAGACAGACACACACACAGAATATATATCTAATCCCACATTCTTGACTAGCAATGTTGGAAGTTTGTAGCAAATGAAATGGCCGTGGAGATAATTCTGTTTCCATGGTCAGACGTCACAGGATGCTTCATTTAATCAGATTTTCAGACTAAAGAACTCAACATTTAGAACAGAAGTCCTGCACTGAATCTCCTCATCAGGGACTTTGTTTATTTCTGAAGAAATTAGCTCACAAAGATGCTCTTCAGCCAGGAAACTGTAATGCCATTAGCTGGGAATGTTCATACCATTTAATCTCTCTCTCTCTCTAGGAGCAGGCAGGAGGGCAGATCAGAGGCCACTTTGGCGGGTGGCGTGTTCCACGGAGCCAGAGAGCTGCTGGACTGCACAGAGCCCCATTCATCCAATCAAAATGGACTTTCCATTGTCAAGCAGTTTGGCCTGGCTGGGGATTTGTAAAAAGGCTTTTTACACTGCGCATACAGGAGTGGAACAAACACATCGCATGTGCTCGTTTCTGAGCTCTAAGCTGAGTCAGAGAGTAAACTCACGGTGACATCATTAATTGGTTTGTTTACAACCGTTTTAAAGCCTTAAGTTTGGTATTATGGCATTTGCTATCTTGTATTTTATGAAGCCAGAAGTGACCATATTTGGATAAGGGCTGCTGTTTTGGTCTCAAACTTTCTTGTAATGCAGATAAACAGTACTTTAAAATATGCTGCTATCTGCATGTTACTGTTGGGGAAACAACAAGAAGCACTTCTGAGGTAGCAACCTACACACAGTTACCTTACCCTGGTTGCTAACAACAAGCTAGTAGCGGTTACCCTTTCTTTGCAGGAAGTTTGCCATTTTATTGGCAGTGCTCTGTTCCCCACGTGCAAATGTTCCACCAAAACAAGTCCTCCTGAACACTATGCAAGGGTACCGTCACTTCATCCGTGGGTTAACACCATCTACCACTCTAGAGCCAGGTTCTATATGTAGTTGAGTTGTGTGTGTACTTCCATTATCCCAAATGTTTCCAACAATGTTCAAACTCAGAGAATGTCATTTTATTCAGGTAACGCTGCGTTTCACCGTTCGCCTGTCAATGGCGTCATATGCCCTTTGTGACTGCGTCAGCGTTGTGGTTGTCTGCCAGAAGCTGTCATACATTGACTGTTTATCCAGTTTGAAGCCACATTTTTACCATCCACTGTTTAGATCTTGGTGCTTTTTAACTCTAGATTTGAACATGATGAAGGTTTTAGTCATCAGACGTCTGGATCTTAAGTTATCAGAGAAACAAGCTGAGCTAACGTTAGCAGCAGCTCGGCTCGCAGCCCCTCCGGGACGTCTTTTGTCTGTCCAACAGCGTGTGAGAAGCAGTGATTTTAAGGTGAC